CTCTTCCTACAAAGTCCCAACCCCCACTATCACGTTCTTGTGTGGATGAGGATATGGAGGTCATTTGGAGGAGATTGGGACGCTCATATTCTAATGCATCGACTCTAGTTCCACCATCCGCTTTATTCAAGATTGAGATGCTCCACCGCTAATTGCGACATGAGAGGAATAAGGGTCTAGAGAGTTACCATCGACTGGGCCAGATGTGGATAAACTTGAAGGTTATTTTTTCTTGCTTTTCTCCTACAGGGAGCTTCCCTGACTCCAGCCAGGAGACTTTCGGAAGTTCTCCTGGTTGAGCGACGAATGGTCAGGTGAGAAAGACCATAGTAGCTATACTCGGACTGTGACTCTTCTTGTTCCCTGTGACCTAATTTGGGTTTGACCTCTTTGACATGAATAAACAATATGTTATTTTTCCTTACGCTTTTGTAAACGCACAAATGCTTGTTTTTGCTGTTTTCACAACTACTATTTAAATGCTAGGTCGTAATACATTACTATTTTATTGCAGAATGTTGATTGAATTACATGGATTAGACTATGCACAATTCAAAGTTTAGCGAAGAAACAAGGGAAAAAACAAAGAAGATAGGGCTGTTATTCTATCTCGTTATGTCCTGCTCTGGCAATCTTGTCGTGAAGAAAATGATCTCTCCCCAGTGGCTTCAAGGGAACTAGTTTAGAGGACTAAAATTTTCTGGGGTTCTCTCAATTTTAAGAGTTTTTAATTGACTCCCAGGTCCATGACTAAGACTTTAGAATATCCTCTTATTTAGGATAGTCATGATCACCCCGAATAAACCCAACAGTACACACTTTAGAATCTATTCAAACTGATACAACACAACAAACATGAACATTTGATGAATGTTATTATCACCCATATGGTTTATAATTGATTGCAACACACTTCAAGAATTCATTTACAAATAACATTGCAATATACCTCTCGACCTTTGCACTTAACCCAGTGATGACTCTCTTTGGGACGACAAGTTTAAAAAACTCAAGCAATCATAACTCGCATAATTTTGAACATTTAGGCAAGTGCACAACATACATCAAACTCCAGAAAGGCAACACTATGAACATAATCACGTCATAGCATCAAAGTAAATTCACCTTACACATAAACAATTATTGAGACAACAATACGCAAGCATTAATAGTTTTAAGCTACATCACACAAAAAAGGTAAAATTATGAATTATTTTGCTTCATGGATGACCATTAGCTGATCATCCATGCATTTATATTACCTCAAAGGACATATACCATTTGGAAACTTCTCGATTCCAATTTACCTTGCTTGTGTCCCTTCAACTGTGACTACAGTGTCCAGTTCACTTTATTGAGATATGAATTGAAATAGAAGATACCAATTCGACTCAACTCATACCACAAGCGACAAATCTCAAGGAAAAAGAGACTAAATGGAACAACTTCCTAGAATGCTTTATAGCTTCCTGAATATTAGATGTGGACGTTTACACACCACCACATGAATCTATTTCATATTTCTCTTCTATAAGGAGACCGTAACCGGAACTTTGTTACCAAGTTTTCATGACCTAACCCACCAGGATGTTCGGGAACCTTCTCTAACACCTAAGTAGAAGAACTTTTAATTGCCAAACGTTTAAACATGCAGAAAATTAAGAAAACTGCAGATAAAAGAAAATTCATGGAACTTATATAAAGTAAAGAGTATTAAATTATTCGAGTTAACTCGTAGAGTAATTAACTCCCCAAAGTATCTAGTCTAAACAAGTACAAGAATAATTAAGATTACAAGGTATAAACATAATAACAATTATGCATCTCCCACCACATGGAAAGAAAATAGGAGTTTTTGTATTATTATTATCTTCGTCTTCACCTGTGAAGCATCACTTACCCTTCAACCAGACTATTTCAAAAAGGCTTAGCAAAAGTAGTATCAGTATAACAATACATAATGATTGGCATCGTTGGTCAACTCGGTACCCACCGCATAATATAATCAAAATCCACTAGCAGGAAACATGCAATAAGATTGTTCACTAGTCCACCTTTATCATCTTCCCTTAACCATTCCCTTATACTTTGAAATATACTAGTACACTTAACCCTAACCCCTAACTCTCTTTTTTCACGGTCATTTCTCATTATCTCTATTTCATATAAGATTCCTCGGGTATAACCACAACAATTCCTACTAACCACTCGCGACATAAACTTGCTTCTTCTTAATAAGAACGCAGCCCTAGAACACATACTATATTCTATCAAGGCTCGCTAACTGTTTCAATATGAATCCCCATTTTTAAGGTAGGACCTAGCTACCTAACAATTATGAGATAACCATCACCCCACTCCTCAATGTTTAAGAACACAGACAACCTCTCTAAAGTAACACATAGTACACCTGGACCCTTGGTTCCCACATAGTACACCTGGACCATTTACATTACATTAAGTAATGATATATATAATAAGTAAATAAGTCATATTATTCACACATATAGACAATGCATAATTCAATTATCATTCAGGAGCACCATACTAATTCCCAACATCCATCAAAGGTATATCTGAACATAGAAGTCACCAACGGTTCTCTCATGGAACCTATACCAAAACTTTTAGTGTGTTGGAACGTGATACGTGATCTAATATGTATGTTTCGAACGTGACACAAGATCCAATATATGTTTCAAAATGTGACATTCGATCAAATGTATGTATCGGAATGTAACATGCATACGATGAGGCACTTAACTGGTATATAACATATAAACAATAAATCGAACCATTACCTACCCTTAATTCTTAAGATGAGTCTTCCTTCTATGGTACCTATCTTATTTAATAAACAAGGTTTATATGTACAATTGTGTATTTTTTGGTGCACAATGGACTAAGCATAAATTCTACCATTAATAAATAATATACTATGCAATTAGAATGAATTTACGACTACTTAGAAAATACCCTACCTGGGTGCCACACAGCTGCAGAGGGATTATAGTTCCAATTTTATCTTCCAGATAATGAGACAGTGGATTTGTCCGGGAATCCACAAACTATCGACAACCTTGACCTATAAATATATTCATCTTTCCTTCTCGAGCATAGAGTATCCTTTTTAGGGTTTCTAGCATGATTCTTGCCTGGTTTTGGTATTTGGAGAAAAGGAGAAAATAAGACTTTGTGTCATTTAAGTTCTACCCCGGCCATCTAGCTCTGCATTCCTTGTTCCTCTGGAGCGTCGCCGCCCTAGCAGCATCATCTTCGCTGTGGAGAGATGATGAGTTTAGTTCTCCCAATCTTTTTCCTTTTTAAGTAGTGACGATTTGGGTTGTTAGAGTATGACTAAACCTGCTAATAACTCTTATGCTCATATATAAAAATATTGAGATAGGAGAAAGTATTGTTAATTAATTTAATATGTGTTGTAAATTTCAGACAACAAACTTTCTTTTTATCCTAAAAATTGTAGACAGTAATTGTATTATTCACATGAATAATATTTTTTGTTTGAAATATAAAGCTACAATTTCTAAATGATTCAATTCGATCAAAAGTTTTTTTCTCAATTCATTTTAGCATCAAATTTATTTCTTCCTTTAGGAAACATTGATATTATACACTTCTTGAACAGGAATAATATTGCCACATTTACGACACGCTTTCAAGAAACTTGTTTGGTACATACAAAATAAATATTTTCGAAAGGGCTCAATACAATTGAAATGACTTTGATTGTAACTTTATGAATAGTATTACACAAGTAAAATAAGTATAAAATTACAAATTCATAAATTTAGGGATAAGTCATAAAAAATATTTCTTAGGCCTTAAGGATGGTTTCAATAAAATTTCTAAGATTCTTAAACAAATTTATTTTAGTAGATATGATCTTTTACCTATATATATTTGGAATGTATATAAAAGTTAATGTATCATGACCGTCGTTGCAATTTTCGATGATCACAAATCCATCAATTTAAATCTTATTAGCTAATGGAAACTCTCCACAATCACACAAAAAAAGTCTCACATTTTCCCTTTCTCCGCCAGCAAACTCATGAAAATCTAAAAATAACCAACTTATATCTTGTTTTTTGCAATGCAATTGAAAGAGGATTGGATGCAAAGGTACAGTGAACAAATTTGTATATATAGAAAATTTCTCAAGATTGTGGCAATAGAATATGTCATGATGAGTAGGTTATGAGTTCGAGATTTCAACTCATTTAGTTCTTTGTTTTCATAGTTCATGTGTCCTCAAATGCCTAATTTGTGCTCTAAATTGTAACAATCCAGAAAATAGTAGATGAAACCAGAGCCTTAACGTGAGGGTTAATGTCATGAGATAAGGGAAAGGACCAAGGAGGAGGAAAAAAACAGTCCACTCTCCCCTAGACAATGCCTAGTGACCACGACAACCCACAGGGAGTATGCTCCCTAAAATTTTCCAAAAAGAGGATCTTATTCATGAGAGACATCACGGCTCATGGTCAAGACTACGGCTCATGGGAAGGCTTGTGAAGAAAAATTGAGCGAAAAGGAGAAAGCTACCAAGAGTCCTAGACACTACCTCAACTTCACGAGAGGGACCATGACTCGTGGTCTTTATTAATGCTCGTTGTCTTGAGCACAGCTCGTGGAGCCCTTCGTGAAGATGACTTGGGCAAGGTAGCTCATGGCACAAATTAGCCTAGCACCTGCCTCAAGGACCACAACGCGTGGAGCCCCTTGTAGGATTGGCTTGGGCTAGTGAATTTCATAATCCAATTTCCTTACCACTGCCCACCTTCACAAGGGGAACCATGAATCATGTTCCTTGCCACGACTCATGAAGGTGACTCCCAACACCTGGGTGTGGTAAATTAATGAAGGGTAGTTAATTCATTTCTTTTTTTAATTCCAATAAAGTGAGGTTGTTTTGGGTATTCTTAAGGGTACTATGTAAAATGTTATAAGTCCAAATGAACTAAAAACAAGTCATTATATTCAAATACCCAAATCAAACAAAAATTTCTCTTCTTCTTAATATTTTTCTCTCTAAAAATCAAAGAAGAAGAAAGGTAGAATTAGAGCTAGGATTTGGAGAACTCAAGGGTTCATCCTCAATTTTATTTTAGATTCTTAATCAAGGTATGATGACTTTTCATCTATGGGTATCCGTCACCTATTAAATTCCTTCAAACTTGATTTCAAGCTTTCAATTTCCCTAAAACCTAGAGTTTCAATCTAGGTCATGGGTTCTCTTTCAAAATGTTTTCAATTATTATTTTATGGTTGATTATTTTAGATTATGATTGAATTGGTGATTAATTATTGATTTATGATCAAATCCTTCAAGAACCCATGAATCCCCCATATATCTAATTTATGAATTCATGATGTGGGTTAAGGATTATAGAAATATGTCAATTAATTGTGTTTATATTAATTGAGTTATTGAATCAGTCTATTCCCCTATCTAATATAGTAATTCTATATGTTTAGGCTGACTTTGTTTTATACCCTTGAAGGGAAAATTATGAAGGACTGGACATGTTGATGATAAATTAGTATGAGCTTATGATTCACATAGAATGTGAAAATCCTATGTTTATTTTATAATTGTGGTAATTTTGTAAGACCATTTTCCCGGTACCCTTACACATGATTATGTATGAAATATCCGACCATGATAGTATTGTTGCATTTAATGACACGATATTATCATGAATACACTATGAATATGATGTGAAAGGTTTACTGACATATTGACAATTTTGAATGTCGAAAGGACATTCTCACCTAATGATTCTGTGAGCCATTATGACACCATGTTCATGGAGTGCCTAGTACATTCTTTCATGATTATGAACATAACTAAAAAGTTAACATGAATTTTAAAGGGAATAAATCTTAGTACTGAGTGGATATGAATATAAAATGGAAGCTTTTATGTTAATTAGTCCGGCTTCCCCACAAAGTTTTCTCATCAAATGGAAACCTTTTCTGTTAGAAACTACGGATTTCTAGTAGAAATCTCCTTATCCCATAACTACGTTCCCATATAGATCTTTCTCTAGTGGATCCATCTAAAATCTTATTCATGAGTTCTACCTTAGGCAAGTAGGAAACCTCTCTTCAGTGTTGGGATAAGCCACCAAATTTCATGTACCTCACGTGGTCTATGTTGGTTAAGGCTACATTTCCCTATATGACAAGAATATGAACTATGCCTATGACTTCTTAATAAGTCTTCTTAGTTTGAGTAGGTTTGTGGGACTTCACTTATGCATTGCACAAGTACGCTTTGGAAAGGGGTGATAGGATGGTTTCCTTATGGTATTAAGATATGTGAAATATGCATGTATGATAGGAATTGGTGCTAACAGTGACTACATTCATTATAATTTATGAATATAAATGTTACCTTGTCAACGAATATTGTCTAATGATGAGTTCAAAGTAAGATATGCATGATTTTTGTGACCTAAAAGTGGTACTTAGCATTTGGTAGGGTTATGGGATCTTGCATTTTCATTGCATTAGTATAGCTTTGGGGTTTCTTATTATATGGTTTGATTTATGTTTCTTCATGAACATGAACGATGGACTTTAAAATTGTTAAGTCCGTGATTTCAAGTAAATGTCTTGTTTGAGCATGTTTAAGGATTTTTATGCATGGTTCTATACTTTAATACAATATTTGTGATAACCCTTATTTTCTATCTTTTCTACATGTGTAGTTTCCACTCGCTGAGGTATACTTTTACTTTCGATTAAAGCTTGGTTGGAGTATTCTTCACACTCGATGAGTCCTTATGGTTCGAGGACAAGAATTATTCGTGCTTAGTTTCTATCATACATTTATTTTAAAGACTATTGTAAAGGGTTGTAACCCTTATTGCCATTCTATTGTAGTAGATGGTTCATTGAGATAATGTCTAGACTCCAACTTCTGATATTAGTGAAAAGGCTTTGATTGTAATAAACTTTTAATTCCACATCATTTCTATTACTTATGTTTATGATTATGCTATGGGTTTGTATGAGACCTTCTGGGGTTGAGTACGCGGTGCTACATCAGGGGGTATGCTGGGTCGTGACATAAACTGATGTTAAAGTATTAATATGAATCAATGAAGGCTAATGAGAACGGCAAGGACATTATCGGGCAAAAAGAAAAAAATAAGGTGAAAAGGTTCAAGGAAGGAAATCCTAGGTATTGACAATACTACTCGGCAAACCGTCAGGTCACTGTTTATCTCGCCAACCTACGTGGTGACATAAATAGGCAGTTGGCGGATCGTGGACCTACTCAGCAACATCAAACTTGACAGCTTAAAATAAAAGAACCTCTGAGGAATGAGAGGAACGGCAAACTGGCGATGGACAAGATCGCCAACATTGTTGGTGAGCCTAACTTACTTCGCCTAACAGCTCTGAAGCCCAAAAATTGGAGCACTCTATAATGAATTTTTTCAAAGAAGAAGAGTTCGAATTCCAAAAGTTCGTAGGATTTTAATTTTCTCTGAGTTTTTGAGTTTCCTTTGTTAAATTTAAAGCTTTTGGGATGTGGTTGAGGATTTAAAAGTGTGTTTCTTATTAAATTGTTTTTGAAGCATCGTAGAGACTCAAAAGAGATTACCTAGCTCATGGATTATATAGTTTGTAATTGTTTCTCTCTTTTTTATGATGTGTAGCTAAAACCCCTATTATTGGGATGTGATCATGCAATTATTGGCTTAATTAGATTATGAGTAGTGTTGTTTACTGATTTAAATGCTTAATTGAAGTGGGATTAATCCATAGTTGTGTTAATCTATGAATTGCAGTTTCAAATACAATTCTAACTTAGAATTCTATGCTTATTTGAGAAAAAGGTTTTAGAACCAAAGTTTAGATTAATGATTGTAGTTCATGGATTTATGTGTGTTCAGAGAGAAAGATTTAATCCTAAACTCAATTCTACCTATTTAGCTCGAGAGAGTAGATAAATTAAGGTTTTGGACTTTTTATATTGTTAAGATTGTTGAGGTTTAAGGGAACTTGCTTGAATCGTAATAGTTGTTCGAGAGAAAGCTATTGCATATATAGTCTAGCCTACCTATTGATATTTAGTAATGGTTAGTAAATTTCAATTATACATATAGAGAATTTAGTCTTTAACCAATCACATCCCGGGATTCCATCTTTACCTCGTTGATTTCCCTTGTTTTTCTATTTGTTTTGACTTTAAATTGACAAACAAATGCCCCTATTTACATTTATTGTCACCCCATTAACTTATTTAATTTAATTCGATCATATTCTTTTAAATGACTAGATCATACTGCTAACTTCATAATTGAATTCAAACTTGTATCGCTCCATGTCGGTTTGATGCCATTTCTGTTGGATTTTATAATAGATTACAATCATGTACACCTAGAATTGGATGAGGTGTAATTGAGAGTTTATCAGTAGGATCTAGGGAGCATTAATAGCTTATGTCATTCTTTACAACATTCTATTTTACGTAATATGATTAGTAGGATTCATGAGGATAAATTTTAAGCTTTATTTGATTTAATTTTATGTGTAGGAATGAGAAGGATAAATTTTGAATTTAAGTTCTTGTTATATTTTTCAAGCATTTAATTTAATGAGCTACGGGAGTAAATTTGTAATTTAATTTAATTTAATTTAGCAAGTAGGAATCAAGAGGGTAGATTCTAAATTTTAGCTTTTGTGATACTTTCTCAGTTATTCAATTTGATGAGTAGGAGTAAAGACTTAAGAGAGTAAATTTTGAATTATAGTTCTTGTGATATTATCTTAAACATTTAATTTGATAAGTAGGATTTAAGAGGGTAATTTTAGAATTTTATATAATTTAATTTGATGACTAGGAGCCACAAATGTGAATTTTAAATTTAATTTAATTTAATCTGATGAGTAGGAACGAGGTAAACTTAAAATATTAAAAATTGTGATATTTTCTTAATCATTTTATATTGTAAGTATGTTACATCTCGACTATTTTAAAACATTACATTATTCTTAAATATAGATTATCAATAAAAAAAGATCCAATATAGTAACTAAAAAATCAAATGTTTTAATAATTAATAGTCTTTAAAATTTGTGAAATCTTCATATGCAAAAAATCACAAATGAGTATTTCATTTATTTAATAACTAAAGGTGCTTAATAAAATATTATATGAATTAAAATAACAACTTGTTGATATTTTAGGAGCTAAAATAGAATATGCCATGTCGCAACATAAAGTCAAAATTATTTAAAAAATATTTTTGACTCTTATAGATTAATTTTTTATTATGAATCAAGAAGTTTGACAAAAACATGTTGGTTCAAATATAAAAGTCATATCACTTCTACAAAGGATATACAATGAAAATTCCTCCATTAATACCATCCATCTCAAATTCCTCCATACAATTAGAATCAATAATGAAAATCATAATTTTGGACATAGAGTTTCAAGAAGCTACATCAAGAAATCGAAAGACTATTAATCAAGTTCTTCTTCAAATTTCTTAAACATTCTTCAAAAACCCTCTTATTGTAGGTATGTATGGCTATAATAGTTCTGACTAGTTCTAACTCACGCCCTGCATATACTTTCAAATCAGTAAAAGAATACTCTAGGATTTGATTCCTAGATATCAATATTCATGAGATGAGTTAATTTTGTGCTATTGAGTTCCAGAATTTTTTTAAAAAAATTCTATTCCTAATCTTTGAATTTCTATATGTTATGCATTGAGATTCTTTAGCTGATCCATTAATGTCTATATTTCAGCATGGACCCTATGAATTAAATATTATTGAGATGAATAGTATCATTCAGTTCTATGTTCTTGTGTTCTAAGTATTTGAGTTTTCTATATTATTATTGAGGTCCTTTAGTTAAGTTTTTCATGTTTATATTTCAGCATGAACCCTTTTTTGAGTTATAAATTTTGAGAATATTTTAAAGCAAATATTTTTATTCAAGTTGACTGATGGTTGTTGCTTAAAAAATCTCCCAAAGATTTAACGTGTAATTTAATATTATCACTTATTATAATGAGTTCAGGGATGAAAAAGTATTTTGTAAAGCTTGAAATGATTTGACTATTTTATTCTTTACATTCAGCTTGAGTACATTGTTATGTATTCCAATCCTTCATATAGTTATTTTTTATTCTTCTATATTACATACACATACATTCAATGTATTCATGTCATTCAACTTGCATACTTTAATGATGTAGATACAGGTTCTTAGAGTTTGTTGAGATCACTTCATCTGTTACTAGCTTTTGAGTAAGACATCCTTGCTTTTAGAGTACTCTCATTTTATGAGTTGTTAGTATTAATTCTTTTGAGGAGTCATGGGTCTTGTGCAGACACTGATTTATGTATAGTACAGGCTTCATAGATAGACAGTTTTTTGATACTCAAAATATTCGGCAAAGTTTTGAGATTTGGTAAGTTGTTTTTAACGTTTCTTCAGTTTGATACTTATGTATCCTCAAGTTAGTCTTCCTCTAGTAGTCATCTATAATGAGGGTTCGATTGGGGAACAACAATGCTTCTTTAGTACTGGCCACATCTAAGGTGTAGGCTCGGGTTGTGACAGTTGGGAAGACATCAATAGAATCTAATGGAAATTGTGAAGTTGGTGCTTATCTAGGACAAATTTCCAGTGTCTCAATGAGGATCACCATACTAGATTTATGTGGTGTCGATCACGTGTCACATATCTAAGTGATGAAGAATAAGATACTTCTAAAGAGATTAAGGGGGTTTGATATCCCTCTGCAACTAAAGAGTCTAAAATGCAACATTAATCTTCCGAAAAGAGCTTGCAAAAAACATATGATGAAGATGAGAGGAAAAAGGAAGTGTTGACCTTCTTTAGTATTTAGGGGTTTCTATTATTACCAGGTCGAAAACAATTAAATATGCATATCCATATTTTAGAAATTTTGACAAGATAAAGACAAGTACTACTTTAAGGTTCAGCAAATATTGGTTGACTATGACATCCTGGATGCCATGCCTTAATTCTATGCAGTCATAGGGAAGATTTTGTCTCCTGTATTTAAATTGCTCATAACATGGTTTAAGCCATTGCCGCTGAATAAATATTAAACTAATTGGATATCTTAAGGATTTCAAGTTTCTTGTGCTATGTTCAAACAAGGAAACTCTGAAGACATTGAAGATCATCCTATGTTCTAGCATATGGTATTTGAAATAAATGGAAAAATCTATGATTAAATAAAGATATTTTCGACGGAAGGAAAAACTTGGGACCTTTTTAAAGATTGGGATATGAATTTGTGTCCTCATCTTAGAAGCAATAAAAATTTCAACTACAAGTTTGTTAAGACCTTTTCATACTATGTTGTTGCTATTGATGTGCATGTTGCATACTTGGATAAAGAAAAAGTATTTACTTGTCTTTTGCATCAAGTAGGTGATCCATTTTTAGTTCCGTCAAAGGATATGCTTAGATTCTCTCCTGGAATTCTTTCTATGAAGATGACAGGAATGTAGAGGAATTATTTTCCTGAAGGATCCTTTATAGTAGAACCTGCCTCATTTCTCTTTTCTGATTTATAAATTTTAACATCAAAACGTATCCTTTGCAGGAGCTAGCAATGGATCTCCTGCTCGATGGACAAGACGAGTAAAGACTTTTGCTTTGTCCAAGTATGTAACATAATCGCAAATTGCATGATCATGGTCTTACAAGACCTCAACAAACTCATAGATTAACTTTTTATCAATCCTAAGATTAGGACACTAGTTCATATTCAAATTTGTAAAGAGGGCCCAAGTTTCTCCTTCCAATGTAAATAACTTTATTACATCGTAGTTGTTTACGGTCATTGCACATACCAAATGTGATAGCATACAATGATGTTCGGTATCTTCTAAGTTCCCTAGTCTACACCTAGCACAAGAAGCTAGAAAGCCCTTAGATAGTCATTTGGTTTCATCTTAATTTAGCGACCCTAGCACTAACCATGTTATGTGCAATTTAAATGCAAGAGACAAAATCTTCAGAATGATTGCATAGAATCTAGGAGTGGCATCCAGGTTATCATAGGCAACCAATACTTCCCCAACCTTAAAGTAGTGCTCATCCTTTTCCTTTTCAAAATCTCTAAAATCTTGATTTTCATATTCAAATGTGTATTAGTCAGCTATAGCAGAAGGTTCTGCATCTGAAGGAAGATCAACACTTCCTTTTGCAGTCTCAGCTTCATGCTCTATGTTCTGTAAGCTCTCTTTTGAGGATAAATGTTGCACCTATGACTCTTTAGTAGGAGAGGGATATGTATAATCCATAAATCTCTTTTTATATATATATATATATATATATATATATATATATGTATGTATGTATGTATGTATGTATGTATGTTTGTATGTATGTATGTATGTATGTATGTATGTATGTATGTATGTATATATATATGTGTGTGTGTGTGTGTGTGTGTGTGTTCTTCTTCATCACTTAGATAATTGAACGTTGTCTACTACACTATTTTTAGTAGTTTCCCTCAATGTCTTTATGAGTAGGACTCACAAGGATTAGTTGTTTCATTCAATTCTTCTAATATTCTATTTGATTTAATTTGATGAGTAGGAGTCATAAGGATAAATTTTAAACTTTAATTGATTCAATTTGATGACTAACTGTGTGAAGGATAAATTTCGAATTTCACTTATTGTGATAGTTTTGGAGTATTTA